ATTATTTCTGATGACTTAAAGGTAGGCAGACAATGTAATAGAGCAGCAGGAAATGCTAGCAGAAGGCTTGGTTGTATTAGCAGTAGAAAGAGAGAAATGCTCATGCCATTATACAGAACACTGGTGAGACCTCACTTGGAGTATTGCATGCAGTACTGGAGACCATATCTCCAGAAGGATATTGATACTTTAGAGAGAGTTCAGAGAAGGGCTACGAAGCTGGTTCATGGATTGCAGGATAAAACTTACAAGGAAAGGTCAAAGGAACTTAACATGTATAGCTTGGAGGAAAGACGAGACAGGGGATATGATAGAAACATTTAAATACATAAAGGGAATCAACACAGTAAAGGAGGAGACCATATTTAAAAGAAGAAAAACTACCACAACACGAGGACATAGTCTTAAATAAGAGGGGCAGAGGTTTAAAAAAAATATCAGGAAAAAAACTATTTTTGTAAGCATTTTGCTTAACTTGTATTCAGGCAAACAGTTTTGCACATTTCTTACAGGTTTTTTTTTTTTTTTTTTTAAGATTTCAAAGCCAAATGCCTAAGAAATAAATGCCAAAGCAACCTAGGAAAGTGGCCCATTTGCACCATTAATGTCACATGTTCATCCTCATCTTGTAGTGTCCATGAGGATGACTACCTTCCTGGCATTGGTGGAGATGCTGGTCGGCGGCCCTGTTCCTGCGGCATGTTGAAAGACGCTGGCCGCTGCAGATCCATATCAATTTGTAGCCCCATGTCCGCCCACGTTATTGACTACATCAACGTGCGTGTGACGTCACGCAAAGGACATGCACGCATGTTCTGGGGTCATAATTTAAAGGAGACTTACTTAAACTCCTTTCTTGTCTATCCTCATTGCCCTGTCGTGGTTTCCCTTAGTGGCTGTCCGAGAGTGTGTTCCTGAGTGTTTATTTCTGGTTATTGACTTTGGCTTTGTTTTGACTTCCCTGTTTTCTGGTATCCTTGACTTTTGGATTTCCATCATCATTGTGTCTCATTCTGTGCCCCTGACCTCGGCAAGTATTCTGACTATTCTCTGGTACGTTAAGTCCAGCCATTCTAATGCCGGGCAAAACGTTACCTTTAGTCCTAGGTGTGATACAGTTCTGCGTGCTGGATCAACTAGTAATCCTGACAATTAACCACTCACGTTAATCCAGAAAGTGGCCGCTGCTCAACATTTAACACCCAGGCACTCCTCGGAATGTGGCACCTTGCGTGCAATAACCATCTAGGAGACTCTCTATGAAAGTGCACCCTGCTCACAAATAAGAAACCAGGAGCCCCAGATGCTCCAGGAAAGAGGACCCTGCTTGCTAATAAATTGAGGTGTCCTGCTTGCCAATAGACTCTCATCCACTACAGGAAAATGTTCTGCTCACCAAACAGTAAAGTGGCCCCTACTCACCAATATGTGCCTAAACACCCCAGGAATGTAGCCCTTTGTAACCAATAGTTACCTAGTATCCTTCAAGGAAAGTGGCCCCTGCTCGCTAATATGCTCCCAGGCATCCCTGGAAAGTGTCCCCTGCTAGTCAATAGGTGCCCAGATAATCACAGGAAAGTGGCCTATTTGCTTATCACATGTTGGCAACTTGGCAAGTTGGTCTTGGTCAGCAACTATTTTCTCCACGCTATGCAAGCTTCTACTGGGCAGTCAATAGCAGCTATTGTGCCCTCACAATGCCACAATTTCACATACAGTTCTCATCTGAGTACAGACTTCATAAGGGCATCAAGTGAAGTGAATTAAGTGAATGCATGTCAGGCTGCCTGCCAAACAAGAAGGTCAGCCCACCAAGGGCAGATATGGTAGAGAGGGTTGTTAAGGCACTTTCTGCAGGTTTAGAGTGCCCTGAGCATAGAACAAGCACATCTAATAAACTGATATGCTATTGGGGGACAATGATATTGATACACTTTCTGGGGACAGTTCTCTGGGGTTCCCAAAAGTGGGACACCAGTAAACAAAGTCAATTTGATAGAACAGGACACTAAAATAAGAACTATACTGGTGAAATCGGGACTGTTGGGATCCCTAGTATCAGACAGACGGATGAACAGACATATAGACAGAGAGACAGAGAACCATTGGTCCATCCTGTATACAAAATATTATACATCAAATAATTTATTTAGAATTTTTATTTAGGTTTTTTTTTTTTTTAGAACTTTTCCTAATGCCATTTCTCATAATAAATAATCAGATATTTTATATGTGTATATTTTGCAGTGGATATATCAGTGCTAATTGGTAGCGTGCGGTTTGATATGTGCACTATATTATTTGATTCACCTTTTATTCCTTTTGCTTTAAAATAAATATAGCCTTGGTATGCTTGGTTATGCCCACTAGACTTGTGCATTTGGTTTCAACTGAATTACGTTTCATCCGAATTTTGGCCGATCGTCGATTTGTCTGAATTCCGCAACTACGAATCGCCATATGGCCCAATGACGAATCAAACAAAAAGGGCATAAGATAAGTTATTTTGTTTTGTATGGGATTCGGAGCTTTTATCCATGGCACGAAAAATAGGGGGAGGGAATAGAGAAGAAGCTGTTAATCTTTTTTATTTAAAAAGGCCTTGTGGACCTAACCAAACAAAAAAAATTTCAGACAAATCGATTCAGACAAAACCAATTTTTATGCCATGCACAAGTGTAATGCCCATTAAGCCAGCCCAATACCAGCTCATATACATCACTTAAATTACATAAATCTCATTGGAAATCTACCAATTATTCCAAAGACTTGTCTGGGAATGACAGAAGGTAATTTTACATGTAAAGGACTTTTTTCTGTTATTTCCATACTGTAAACTATTCATAATGCTAAAAATACTTAGTTCACAATTTAGGACTGTGTCGAGTGTTAAGGGTTAAGCTCATTGAATGGCAGATGGGATATTCCAAGGCTTTTTAATGCACTCCACACCCCCAGGCACCGAAATGGTTCATAAAACTACAGCGGGAGCAGGACAAAGAATACATTTCCTGAGCTTTGGTTTAGATGTAACTCAAACTTCAATTCATGAGGTTTGAATTTCAAACCCCATAAATATAACCATCCTATAAAACATGCAAAGAATTCTAGGAATCTGCATGTTAAGACCCACAACTGAAACATTACTTTTGTAGAATGGTACTAAATAGGTTAAAGGCAGGCACGCTAACTTAAAGCTTACAGGTTTATTGCCCTGCCCAGATGCAAACATCTTATTTTTGTAAACGTAACTTGTAAACGAGCACATTCAGAATGTTATTTTAAACCGTTTCAGTAATTCAACACTAACGTCAACTGTCAACAATAAATAAACATATCACTTATATAAAATAATCTGTTTTTAATGTCAGTTTACTCATTTATATTCATGATATTATCTATTTTATGAAACACACCTTGGATAAATACCATATATAAAAAAAACATTGAGATAAACAAATAGTCACATTTATTGAAACAATTGTAAAAAAAAATGCTAATAATCCTGTCAGGGTTTTTTTTTAACCAAAGTTAGAATTTAAAGTGAATTTAACATTTAAGAGCCAGAGTGGCCGAACAGAATTCTTAGCTGACTTAGATAATCTTTCCAGTTCTGCTATTTTGACCTTAAATTTGAAATTTCATTTTGAATTTACTTTAAATCGACACTTTGGCGAGTAAACCTACAAGAGTGTAAATAAGTATTTCCAAGGGTATCTGGGACAGGTTAACCTTAGAGCAATGATGTCAGCATAATATGTTGGTGCTATGTAAATATTAGTGATAACACAGGAAGTCCCAGATATTTGTGAATGACATTTCACATGATGTTGGTTTGCTAAGCATCATGGGACAGAATGTTAATACAGTTCTCCATTATCACAGGAGCCAAGATAGTCCATCACTTCCTTAGAGAAGCAAAATGTCACTGTGTTTTCAAATTACAATATACAGTAATAATTGTGACAATTTTGTTAAACGTTGTCAAAGTGTTTATTTTAAAAACACCACTATACCATAGCACTTTGTCTAATTCCTACTTCACTGCTATAAATATGGATGTTATTTTAAATAAACACATTTACACTATATAAAACAAAATTGGCACAAACTATGCGTTTAGTCTCCTGTATCACCATCATCATATGCTTCCTCCTATGACTTACATTTTTTTTTACATATGTATCGCAAATAACTTTGATATGCTCACATGGATGTTTTTCCAAAACTGCCAAAACCACTGTCACAAAATAGGAATGATTTATTTATTTATTTTATTTTTTTCCCCTAGAGAATAATGAGTTTAATGTATACACTCATTGGGTCAGATTTTATTGCCAGGTCACTCTCAGTGATTGAGTATAAGTAGCAGCTCCAGGCTGCTGTGCTGATGAAAATCCTTTTGTTTTGTTTGCAATTAGAGACTGCGGTTGGTGTCCCAAACCTTGCTTTGATGTAAGATGTGCCCTGTCCTCTAACCAGAAAACTTTCCAGTTCCGTCGTGACATAACAGGATTTTTTCGATGAAAGGGTTAAAGACGCATGGACTGCTGCTTATGTTTGTTGCCACCAAACCGTTTCAGTCTCTAAAATGTTGTGTGCTGGAGTCATTGAAAACATCAAAAAAATCAATAATTACTGTCACATAGAGCATTTCAAATATTGTGATTTTGGTGAAATTCTGTATTTCAAGTTATGTTGAAAAATAGAGGGGCTTACTGATGGAAAGGATTATTCAAGTCCATCTCTAGATTCTTACATATTTTACGAAACATAAACGTTGTATTACCTATTTATTGTACAGCGCTGCGGAATTTGTTGGCGCTTGTAAATAATAATAATATTAAGCATGCAGTTTTCTGCCATCGTATATTCAAAGTACACGTTGGACCTCAGACTACTGCACTAATAAGAATTGGATTACTCTTTATTCCAGGTGTTAATGAACATCATTAAAAACTCCAATCGGCAGCAAAGAGAGAACATATCACACCAAGCATAGTAAACCCAACATCCCGAGTCACATTTTGCATATGCAATCACATCACAAGAAATACACATGCTGTGCACAATGGGACAAAAAAAGCAAGCGAGAGACAGATCGAGAGGAAGAGAGGGAGAGAGAGAGACAGAAAAAGAGAGAGAGAACAAACCTACAGTATGTTATTGAAGCGATCCAGACTGGTACTGCTACAGCAAGCAACAATCCCATTGCTCATATTGTGCAGATATCATCTGAGTCCCAGTAATTGTTTAGTGCCTTTCGCACTCTATAATGTGAATTCTGCATCCAGGATAAAGCTCTAATCTAAATAAGGTGCTGTTTTCAGCTTGCATTGCAATGAGTTATGTATCACGCCTTTTTTTTTCTTTTCTTTTTTTTTTTTTGCTTCATGCAAACTTTAATCCACAGGGGTCTAATCCTCCAAAAGCAGACATTTCAGATTGAAAGAAAGAAGCTCCATTAATTAGAAAGTGCGCCAGTTGTAGCCAAATGCCATTATATTAGTATGCAAAGCCTGCAGTCAGTTAATCTCTACAAATCGTTTGTTTCCTTAATTGTCCTCTAAGGGCAAAAGTGAAAAACATCACAGAAGAATAATATTTTTGTTGGAGTGAGACAACTTTGTAAAATAACTTTAACAAATGATTACTCTTTTGAATGGGTTTTCTGAAGCTGATATATTCCAAGCATCAAGAATCGGGTCTTATTTTCCCTATTTTGCAAGATGATTATCTTACTTTTGTTTCTGCTATTTACAGAATGGGTTCTGTGTTACAATGTTACAGCAATTATTTTTGTGCCACCAACACTTTACAGAGCATTACACATAAATGAAAATATGGTATGGTGCATGATAGAGGTACAAAGATAAGGAGAAGGTTATACTGCTTAAGGCTGCTTAAAGCTCTGCCCTCCAAGACGTTGATGGCCTACAAATCCCAGAAGTCTTTGAATGAAATTGATGGCTAGAGAATGGCGAGTTGTAGTTCAGCATAACATGGGGGGTAAGATTCATGATGTAAGGTTTACTGAGTAGATTAACAGGGAAATTCACTAAAATGATAATTCTAAGCAATTCAGACAACTTTCATACTCAGAAATGTTAGCAATGTTAAAAACAGTGCTACTCATATGTTTTTAAAGTGACAGTAAACATTACCAAAGGTTGAACTATAAATGCAGTGTGGCTGGTGTAAAAGCTGCATTCATCTTTACACATATATTACATTTTCACTGACCACTGGGTCACGTCTGATTAGGCTGGATACACACATATGCCAGTTGAACATTGCTGTCCTTTATAGATGAAACAAGTAAAGGGGACCTTTCTCGTGTTTCCAAATAAATCATAGTTCGTCACTGTGGGGGGCTGTGAGTGATGTTCGGTACCAGAGGTTCCAGTCTGCTTCACTTTGAAGCATTGGGACTCCGTAGCAAAGAATAAAATCTCACATATCTTAAAATCTACATGTATTTTATCTCTCTTCTAAAGTTCTGAACAAAGTCCCCAGAACACTATTTGACAATATGTATAATAGTACACTTTTAGTATCTATCTATCTATCTATCTATCATCTGTCTGTCTATCTATCTATCTATCTATCTATCTATCTATCTATCTATCAAACATCTATTGATGTATCTATCTAATTATCTATCTATCCATCTATTTATCATCTACCTCTATATCTATCTATTTATCTATCTATCTTTCTATCTATCTAATATTCTATCAATCAATTATCTATGTGGCTATCTATCTATCTATCTAATAATCTATCGATGTATCTATCTAATAACTTATCTATATATCTATGGATCTATCTATCTGTTTATCATCTATCTGTCTATCTAGCTATGTGTCTAGCTATCTATATCTATCTATCTATCAATCTGTCTATCTATCTACCTATTATCTATCTATCTGTGACGGACCGCCCTGCACCCCCACCGGGTACCTCTGTCAATCGCTGCTTCCTAGTACTTGTGAGCACCATAAGCACTGCACTGGAACACCATAACCACTGTAAATCCCACAAACCGCTGCAGCTTGGTTGGGGTCTCGCTGTCCTTCACCCACCCTGGACCCAAGACCAGGATCCAGCTTCCAGTAGGTAGACCTCTCCTAGTCCAGAGAGAGCAAGTGTTGTGATACAAGGGAGTATAGTGATTATAGCAATCCCCAGAGTGTGAATATAGCTCTCCAAACCCCCAAACATGAGCCTAGACTTCATGAAGGGTAAAACAAATCTCTCTTTAATGGTAGCCACACTGGCCTTTTATGCAAGTCCCCATGCAAGGGGCACTCCCACATGGACCTTGTGGGGAACTACAATACAAAGTCACAGACCAATGACAATACAGTTAAAATACATGACACTCCCATACATAATAGGATAATCCCTCCTCTGTGCCTGGGAGATAAAAGGATCAGGAACTGTGCTAATCTAATCCAATTATCCTCAAGCACAGAAAAAAACATAAATTTTTACAAACACCCCAAAAGTACTTTAAAACACACAAGATCCCCACAAATGTTACATCGGCTTATAGCCCTGATCTGGACTATCAGGATCCAGACTAGTTCGGTAGTTTTAAAACTAACAAACTACCGAACAGAGTCAGTAGTCTTACCCTGGTGCTTGTTCCCTCGACCAGATGAATGATTTCACCAAACAGTGCCTTTCTAAGTTGTATAGAACCGAAAGCGGGCGATGATGAAAGTCCCGCGGTGTTCGGGAGTTTCTGCGTACAATTTCATTTCCATGAGATTCATGCCAAAACACCACTGCCTGCGTTCATGCGAACAAGATGGCCGCCACCTCATGGTTGTCCATAGAAATTGCGGCCACCCAATGGTGAGAAACATTCCAAGTTGTTAATAGGTTTTAACAAGTTCCAGGGTGGTCTCTGGTTCGTGTGGACATTCGGTAACCATACCATATAATCCCAATTGCACAAACAGAGTCTTTTAAAAGTATATAGTTTATTACAGGGGCAATAGTCATAGGGCAGAAGGCTGGCAAACAGGCTCCTCCAAAAGCACATGATGAGGCTCAGGTCGTCACACTATCTATCTATCTATCTGTGTATCGTCTATCTAGCTATCTATCTATCTATCTAATAATCGATCAATCATCCATTGATGTATCTATCTATCTAATAATCTATCTATTATCTACCTCTATATCTATCTATCTGTCTGTCTGTCTTTCTATCTAATATTCAATCGATCAATTATCTATGTGCCTATCTATCTAAAATCTATCAATCATCTATCGATGTATCTATCTATCTAATAATCTATCTATCTATCTAATATTCTATCAATCAATTATCTATGTGCATATCTATCTATATAGCTAATAATCTATCAATCATCTATCGATGTATCTATCTATCTAATAATCCATCTATCTAATATATCAATCAATTATCTATGTGCATATCTATCTATTCATCTATCTATCCATCCATCTAATAACCTATCAATCATCTATTGATGTATCTATCTATCTAATAATCTATCTATCTATCTATCTATCTATCTAATAATCTATCAATCATCTATCAATGTATCTATCTATCTAATAATCTATCTATCTATCTCTATCTGTCGGTCTGTCTGTCTATCTATCTATCTAATATTCTATCAATCAATTATCTATGTGCCTATCTATCTAATAATATATCAATCATCTATCGATGTATCTATCTATCTATCTATCTATCTATATATCTATCTGTCTGTCTATCATCTATCTATCTATCTATCTATCTGGCTATCATCTATCTATCTATGTATCTATGTATCTATCTAGAAATATAGTAATCTATCTAGAAATTTATCTTTTTAGAAATCTATAATTTATATACATTCATATGTGTCACATTACTTCAGAAAGACCTCTGCTGCAAGTTATGGTCAGACTAACATCACTAAATTGCATGTGCTAAGGGATACATTTAATTACAAACTATAATGATGCACATGTTCATACAATGAATCCAATGCATGCTGCTGATTTGATTACTCCTCAGTATGTGTAATACGCATTATTTCTTTCTCTCTCTCCCCAATGAGGCAGAAAAGCATTGACAAATTCAATTTAACAAGGAAACATTTGCAAATTACCAATCATTTGAAGTTGTGTAACTATTACAAGAAACTTTCATAGTCCATCCCACCTTTCCTATTTTAAATTGGTCGATACAGATTAAATAGAGTCCAATTTAAATTCCATATATTTTTTAATCTATAAATTGTACCAACCACACAGCCAGACAATATATATTAAAGAGAAATTTGCAGTATTTTATTCCAGCGACACTTTGTTTGTGGGTTTCACATTGTTCTGCACAAATGCTCTCTGTGAGTGTGCACCATATATTGTATAGTATTCGAAATCTACTCCTTAGTACATTGGCTGCACAAGAATTTGCAAAGTATGCAGGCCCATGAGCATTCTGAATATATAATATGAAATATATCTAATCATCTCTGGTGATTTACTAGCCATTTGGCTAGTATAATATAGGCAAAATAATTAGATCATTTAAATGAGAATCTTCAATTCTATTGTATTAAATTTGATGTATTTAATGTATGCCACACATCTCACATACTAGGGAGCCATGACCAAGCTCTATATGTAGTGCCCCCATATGCAAATATTTCTTTCATGATTTTTTTTTTCTAAAAATTAGATTTTTGACACATTTAGTGGTACCTGTAAACCTATAATTAAAGGGGAGCTGCCCTTCTGAAAAATAAAATTCAACGTAGAAATCTGTTTTGTCATTCCCTAGAATCGAGTGCCTCCATCTTGACTCCCTGTCAGTCACTGTAACAAGTTCTCCATTTTGCATCTTGCAGTCAGTACCGAGAGGGTATTTCTCCTCCTCCAATGCAAAGTCTACTCTGGCTGTGCCTGAATTGAGCTGGATTGAGATGTCTACTACAAAATCTTTAATATACATTTCAAAGAAAATGGAGTCTCACAATGAAGTAAAAAGGGCATTAAATGTGTTTTATGGTTAATTCTCTAGTTAAATAAATATTATTAGAAAAGTTTAATTTTTATTTTTTTAATTTTTTTGGCTGTTCAATTTTTGGCAACCTGTCATATGTAACTCTAAAGACTTTATAAATGCTTGTGTTTTATGTGCTATACAACTAGATTTTTAGGACACTTCAACATTTTTTTTTTTAGTTATACTGTTAGCACAGTTTGT